TTAAACTCAGAATTCAAGAGCCGGGAATCGATGGAGCCCATTGCAAACAGCTGTCTTCCAATCCCAAAGACTTAAAAATATGAAAAGAAAAAAATATGACACAATAGTATGATAAGGCATCTTGATACTTTCCAATACAATTTTATCGGTTTAATTTTTGCTGGTAAGTATAATGATATGCATGACAGTACATCACATCGTTTATGTCTTGTTTGCACATTTCATACAAAAATTAAATGATTGGGCGCATTCATAGTGTTTATTTTCTCACTGAAATTACAACGTGTTGTCAAAAGGAGTAAAGGAGGGGCAGCCCAAACAGAAGCAGAAGGAACCGCGACAGCTAAGACAGGTGGAGCAGAGCAACACTGGAGTAAAGACACTCGCTGACACAAGAACGGACCAGAGAACACTACGAGCAGGCTGATATATACACTTGACGACGAGTCACCGGGTAGAGACCGGTGTGAGTGGTTGACACATCAGGAATTTACCAATGACTGGCAACAGCCGCAGGAAACAGAACACGAAAATGAGACGCCGAAGGGCCAGCAGTGACATCTACTGGCCAAGGCGGAATATGACATTGCAGATGAGGACGGATCGTGACGTGTGCACTCGTACTACTATTGCCTATTGTTTTAATGTTCTTTAACTACCAGCGGATTCCAAAATTTTGTTAAAACACAGTAGTCTACCAAAATTCCAGAATTGATGTTAAATGAGTGACTTAATAGATATATTTTGTACACACACACACACACACACACACACACAACCACATACAACGTCCTCTATGTTAAAATCCATGTTAGAATAAAAATGACCGTTGGTACTAAAGTTATATCTCAGGTCTCACAATCACTTTAGTTAAAATTTATTTAACTGAAATATTAACAGAAACCTGCTAGCGATGTACAGTAACTTGGAGAGCTGACTAACTTAGCTGGTTGATGAGGGCTAAACCTGTAACTTACATTCCACTGTCAGCTCCATGGGATATGTAGCCTCCAAATGTTTTATCATAGGCAATGTTGTTTTATTAAATGCCAGTATTTTATTACAAATACTGTATATAACTTTATTACTGCATTGTTTAAAGTAAAATATCGCCAAACTACTGAATGTTGCGTTGATGATGGCATTTCTAAATTAACTATACTTTACTTGTTTGAACGTAGGCCGGTTAGCCGATATTGGTCACATTCTTAAATGTGATGAGCTTGTAGTTTTATGAAACTCAAATGCGTATTCAGGGTTGCTAATACGTACCAGTTTTGTTCTGTGTTTACCATGTTATGTGTGTCCCTTGTAAATAGCCTATAACATGCATAAGTCAGTTAGACAGGTGATGAGTAAAAATAACCACGATAACACAGTTTAGCGTGGTTATTTTTACTCATCACCTGTCTAACTGACATCATATGTCTTTAATTGCTGTTTTCGATTTGCAGCTTGCGTGTACATTGTATATTTCACCAGGATCATTCACATCTCACCCCGCCCCAACACTTGTGTACATATCTCTGTACATTCTGTACATATCTCTGTACATTTTTATTTATTTTGTACATAAAACTTTGGTTGTGTATATAGACAACTGACCTACCTGCTCTTGTTCTACATTCCTTTTGTATAAGAACTCTGTAACACCTACATTTCTCATTCGTGGGATAATAAAGGTTTATTCTATTCTATTCTATATGCCAAGGGCTTAGAAGAGTTCAGGCTGGCTGGTCGGACAGCCTGCAACAGGACAAGCACGCCCTCTATAGGACACGTTCAGCCTATTATTCTGACGTTATTGATTGCTATACAAATAACCGTCGCTACCTTTTTAAAACAATAGCTCATCTAACAAATAAAGCTGAACCGCTGCTACCGAGTAAGTTGAGTAGTGTACATTTTATGAACTTCTTTAATGATAAAATTACAAATATTAGGCTTAAAACATGCCCAAATGGCTCACAATTAACTACAACGCAAACAGAACGCGAACACACTCTTAATATTTTTTAATTAATTAATTAATTAATTAATTCATTCATTCATTAATGAACAAGAGCTAAAAACTATTATAATTAAGATCAAACCAACCACTTGTCCACTGGACCCAGTCCCCACTAAGCATCGTAAAGATTCCTTGCAGTAATTAATGCATCCCTGTCATTGGGTGATGTTCCTGACCAACTTAAAGTAACAGTATTCAGGCCACTAATGAAGAAGACAAGTTTGGATCCAGAGGAGCTCAGCAGGTACAGGCCTGTCTTTAACGTACCATTTTTGTCAAAAGTTGGAAAAAAAAAAGATAGTTGCTACTCAACTTCACTCATACTTGGAGAGACACAACATACTGGGTCGTCTCCAGCACTGAAACTGCCTTAAGGAAAGTCGTAAAAGACATAACAATGGCAGCTGATGCTGACCGTGCTAGTATTGGACTAATCATTATCAATATGTTCAAGTGTCAGATAATTGTACCCCGTTGTCAGTGTCACCAGTCAAATGTGTGGTACCACAGGGATCAGTGCTTGGTCCTTTATTGTTTTCTCTCTACATGCTGCCATTAGGAAACATAATAAGAAAATATAATGATAACTATCACTCCTATGCCGACGACACCCAAATATACATTTCGTTTACGCCTAACGATACCATATCTATCGTTAATTGTTTTAACAAAGTCCAGACCTCGATGCCAGAAAACTTTTTTTATCACTGAACGCTTAGAAAATCAAGGTTCTGTTGTTTGGAGGCAGGTCTGCAGATAGGAACTTTATAATCTCTGCACTCCACTCCAAAGGGCTGAACTTGCAGCTCAGTCCGTAACCTGGGTGTCATCTTAGATACAAGCCTCTTATTTAAATCACATGTGGATGCAGTATCAAAGGTATGGTTCCTACAGCTACGCAACGTCACCAAACTGCGATGTTTTTTTTACTATTCAAGACACAGAGAAATTGATACACGCCTTTGTAGAGTGTAGGATAGACTACTGTGATGCTCTGTTATCTGGCAGCACACACTGAACATTAAACACCTTACCAGCATATTCAAAATGCGGCAGCTCGAATTGTCACCAGGAGCTATTACTTAGGGTTGTGGGTAAGCTACACTGAAGACATAACACACTGTAACTATGGCTGCTGGTGTTGCCGTACATGCCATTTTTAATCTACTATGCTTGTCTATTAATGTGTCAAGGCATGTTCTGACCATCCATGCTCTCTGCCTTCCCAGATGTCTGGGTGGTGTTCAGGATGGGCCCCATCTGAGGTGGAGTCCCGGTTCAGTCCCTTGGAGGGGTGACATCGCGAATGGGACCTACGAACTGTATCATCGTGGGTGCAGCCTTCAGTGCCACCCAACACCTAATTGATTGCACATTAGCTGCAACAAACTGTCTGAGCTACTCTCTTACAATGAGAGAATCTGTAAACCTGTAGTGTGAAATGAATGAATGAATCTATTGTGGTAAATGTCACAGCAGAAGTATACTTGCAAAATCTTTGCCTACAGGCCAGCTGACAGATTTACAAATATGATTTCAGAATTGTAATTATTTTTTTTTTTATGAATGATTACTTCAGACGCAAATCTACTTTGATAATAATGTTTAAGAATGTGTGGATTGATACTGAATTATTCATACTTTCTATATGAATGTTTCATTTTGAGAATTGATTGTAACGTTAACACTAGTGGCTGGGGGAATGTAATGATCAGATCAGGCACAGCATCCCCCCTCCAGTTTTACTGACAGGGTTGGGCTGGTACCAAATATTGGGATCAGTATCAGCAATATCAGTATTGGAAATGGATCAAATCACCTTCAAAAGAAAATCAGTGGTATTGTTCACCCCTAATATTAGTTGACAAAATGTTTTCTGCATATTGTAATTTCAATGAAAGTTATATGCAACCATGAAGTGATTATATCCCACCATAAAAGACAGGAATCCCCTAATGTAAAATTTACCTAAGCTAATCAGGAAGATGGTGGTGCAGGAGGTAGTGCTATCGTTCGGCAACCAGAGGGTTGCAGGTTCGAGCCCCGGGTCCTCCTGACCCCATCGAAGTGTCCTTGAGTAAGACACTGAACCCCAAGTTGCTCCCGGTGTGCAGGTTGGCAGCCTCCGCCACCGGTGTGTGAGTGTGGATGGGTGAATGTGATCA